GGCCTGGAATGAAATCTGATTTTCGTTTTCCTGATAAGAAATTGAGTGTCCTATGTGGCTGCTGTAAATTGCCAGCGTTGCTGGTGTGAGGGGTATGTGGAGTCCTGTCGGGTAGTGGTTAGAGCACTCGCCTTGCAAGTGAGAGGACTCGGGTTTGAAATCTCAGGCAAGTTTCCTTACTCCACACGCCTCTGTTTACCTTGCAGTAAGTAGGAGACCATTTGTTAGTTGATTGGCAGATCACTTTCTGGGGGTAATGATCCCTTCAAAAAAATAATAATTTGGTCACTCAATTCACGACTGTTGTGGGACGCTGCTGTGCGCAATTGGCTGCTGTGTTTCTCCCACAAAATATGCAATCAATTCACTTTACACTATATTCTGTGAAGCGCTTTGAGATGTCTCAACGATGTAATAAGGCTCTATTATCTTTATCCCAAAGGTATGAAAAATACAGTTTCATCATAGATTCCAAATAAAGACACTCCAGTACAGCGCTGGAGGAGAACTGTATTTTCAGAGACGCTATCCTTCCGTTGAAACGCTAAACTGAAATCTCAGGTGGACGTTAAAGATCCCATGGAATATTCGAAAAGAGAATGATACTTCTCTCTCACCCGGTGTCCTGGATGACAATCCCCCAGATAACATCACTTCATATCTGCTTGTGGGATGTTGCTGTGCGAAAATTGGCTGCCTTGTTTGCCTCCAAATGCACAATCGCTACACTTTACAGTAAAATTTAAGGGAGCACAGATTTTTATAAAATTTAAGCCCTTTTAGATATCTTGGTAATAATAATTCTTGCATTTAATACAGCGCCTTATCATAGAGACATCTCAAAGCGCTTCACAGAATATATTGTAAAGTGGAGTGACTACTGTATTTTGTGGGTGAAATATTATTTACTGATAAAGCAATATATCAAATCCAATCATGCATATGTATTATCCCTCGTGCTATTGAATATGTTAGAATCTGTTAAGAACCATCATCATTTTCTATCTATTACTAAAGACCAATCATAGGGTGAATTCCTAGCCACCTGCCCTCTTGACTTTGGCAATAGTCGATTGGCGGACCACTTTTACAGGGGTAATAATTGTTTTAAAATTTATTTTGTGGGACGCTGCTGTGCGCAATTGGTGGCTGCATTTTACCCACAAAATATACAGTCAGTTCACTTTACAGTATATTCTGTGAAGTGCTCTGAAAGGTCTTGAAGAAGTGATAAAGCACTATATCAAATGCAAGGATTATTATTTTTAATTGGTGGAGAGACCGACCCAGTGGAGGGAGATAGGAGTTGACACCTTTCAGGAGAGGAGGTGAGAAACATTGGAGGAAAAAATGTCAAGTATTTTAAATATATACACATTATATAGATAGTGGCTTAAAAGAATTAGGCTAATAAATAGATTAGAGAAAATTGTCTTGAATTCAGCAATTGATAGGTGGGTTGCTATAGAAACAGGATGTAGACTCTCTCAGAATATGCTAACTTGTATTAACACTGAAGGCACTCAATTTAGAAGAATTACAAGCCATTCTGGCATATATTTGCCAGCGCTGAGTCATATTGACAACAAATAGGCTTAGTCAGCAGCACAGTCCTCTCACCTCTGGGTTTAATTCTTTATTCAAGCTCACAGTCTACACACATGATCCGGTACTGGACAGGTGAAACATTGCTGGAAGTGCTGTTCTTCTGATGACATGTTAAAGCGAGGGCCTGTCTTGCTTGTTCATTCAACCTGGTGTTGTTTAAGATGGTGCTGAATTGTGGATCCTTAATTTGGAAACCAATTTACTACAGTATGGAAAAGAACCAGCTTCCAAATCGAGACTGAATTCATGAATTTTCCCCAAATCTGCACCATCTTCAATTTTACGATAAAGTTTTAAAACTAAAGACAAAAGGGAATTGGATCGACCCTTGAAAAGTACACATTTGCATAGCTATGGGGTGAGAACGGGGGGGGGGGTGGGACTGATTGGATAGCTCTCTGAAAGAACTGGCACAGTCACGAATGGTCTCCTCTGTGCTGCTATTCTATGATTCTATGACTAGTGCTGGGATGAATTTGACACCTTTGGAGCAGAACTCTGGCTCATTATTTCTCCTTCACTGGCATTCGGGAGTTGAGGTCAACAGTAACGCCAAGGTCCGTATCAGTTAAGAGGAAATGTCCAAACAGGTGACATTAGGCACCATTGAGAAGCGGAGGGGGATTGAGTAATCTTCTTACCCGGATTGTGGTATGGTTAATGAAAGCTGCAGTCCTTGACCAGGACACACACGTATACCCTCCATAGCAATGTAGCCATACATCACTGGTAATAGTCCAAGGCTATGGCATTGGTAGGTTAATGAGTCACATCAGTCTTCAGCCAGGTGGAACCTTTTTATTTTGTTAACTGTATAAGCAATAAACAATGTATTGTTTCTACGGATACAAATAACAATAATAATCCTTGCATTTGATATGGCGCCTTATCACATCTTCCAGAAGTCTCAAGTGCTTCACAGAATATAATGTAAAGTGAATTGATTGTATGTTTTGTGGGCAGCCAATTGCACACAGCAGCGTCCCACAGATGTGGATTGAAGTCATCAAATTATTTTTTTGAAGCAATTTTTACCTCTAGAAAAGCGATCCACAATTGACTAACAACCGGGTTCCTACTTACTGCTGGTAAACAGGGATGTGTGGAGTAAGTATAGGAATATAAGAGCAAAAGGAAGCCATTCAGCCTAGCCAGCCTACCGGTTTATTATCTGTTAATTCCGAGTATTAATTATTTCCCAATTGCCTCTGTCTCTATACCCTGAAGGGGCAGTCTGTCCAACGTTCTCTTTCACGTGAATAAATGTTTTCTGATCTCACTTCTAACCGGTCTATCATTTGAAGGTTAATAATAGTGATAGCATTCGAGAGTGCCATTAACATCAACAATTCTTAAAGTGCTTCACAGGAAATCCTTTTTAGGAGTACACGGCAGCCAATTTGCACACAGCAAAATCCCATAAACAGGAGGGCAGGGAGCATCTGTCAACAACTTCACTGGAAGACTGTTGGCCAGGAAACCGTGAGAAACTTTTTCCAATTGTGTGCAATGATCTTTAACATCCACACAAAGAGCTTTGTCTCATCTGAAGGAAAGCACCTCCATCAAGGCAAGATAGACCCACTCCCTGTCACTACCTGTGTGAGCTCAAAGTCATAAGGTGCGACATTGCCCCACCACTCGAGACATAACATAAAGACTTGTCAAATGTATATCGAAGACTTGTCAGCAGTCTCTGAATGGCCACAATCTGATATCAATACCTATCCACAGAACCTGGACACCAGATACTTGAACGTTTCCTCAGTGAAGCATTTGCTCCTTTATTTTTTAAAAAAGATTGATTTAAAAACACTCCCCAACACACACTCACACGGGCACACACACACAGGCACACACACACAGGCACACACACACACACACACAGAATTACACACACACACACACACAATTACACACACATACACACACACACACACAATTACACACACACACACACACACAGGCACACACACACAATTACACACACACACACAGGCACACACACACAATTACACACGCACACACACACACACACACAGGCACACACACACACAGGCACACACACACAGGCACACACCACACACACACACACACACACACACAGGCACACACACACACACACACACACACACAGGCACACACACACAATTACACACACACACACAGGCACACACACACACACAATTGCACACAGGCACTCACACACACGATTACTCACACAGGCACAGTGTGTGGAGAGCACCAGCGTTAGCGATGGGAACAACAATATACACTGGGGCGAGAGAGAGAGGGTCCAGTGAGTTTCTGTGAGTGTAATTCTATTGACTTGAGAGAGTTCCTGTATGGAGGGTGTTGGGGGAGGGTGTTGGGGAGAGGGTGTTGGAGAGGGTGTTGGGGAGAGGGTGTTGGGGAGAGGGTGTTGGAGAGGGTGTTGGGGGAGGGTGTTGGAGAAGGTATTGGGGAGGGTGTTGGAGAAGGTATTGGGGAGGGTGTTGGAGAGGGTATTGGGGAGGGTGTTGGGGAGAGGGTATTGGGGAGAGGGTGTTGGAGAGGGTGTTGGGGGAGGGTATTGGAGAGGGTGTTGGAGAGGGTGTTGGGGGAGGGTGTTGGAGAAGGTATTGGGGAGAGTGTTGGAGAGGGTGTATTGGGAGAGGGTGTATTGGGGGAGGGTGTTGGAGAGGGTATTGGGGAGGATGTTGGAGAGGGTGTATTGGGGAGGGAGTTGGAGAGGGTGTATTGGGAGAGGGTGTATTGGGGGAGGGTGTTGGAGAGGGTATTGGGGGAGGATGTTGGAGAGGGTGTATTGGGGAGGGTGTTGGAGAGGGTGTATTGGGAGAGGGTGTATTGGGGGAGGGTGTTGGAGAGGGTATTGGGGAGGATGTTGGAGAGGGTGTATTGGGGAGGGTGTTGGAGAGGGTGTATTGGGAGAGGGTGTATTGGGGGAGGGTGTTGGAGAGGGTGTATTGGGAGAGGGTGTATTGGGGGAGGGTGTTGGAGAGGGTATTGGGGAGGGTGTTGGAGAGGGTGTATTGGGAGAGGGTGTATTGGGAGAGGGTGTATTGGGAGAGGGTGTATTGGGAGAGGGTGTTGGAGAGGGTGTATTGGGGAGGGTGTATTGGGGAGGGTGTATTGGGGAGGGTGTTGGGGAGAGGGTGTTGGGGAGGGGGTGTTGGGAGAGGGTGTATTGGGAGAGGGTGTATTGGGAGAGGGTGTTGGGGAGGGGGTGTTGGGGTGTGTGTGGATGGGGTGGGGTGGGGGGGGACAGCCCACGGGCTGATCAGCCATTGGGTTTCACTCCCTGTGTTGTAACGGGGAGGGCTGTGAGGCTGAGATTGGCTCATCACCACCAGTCACTGCAGAAGGCGACCGACATCTATATAAACCCTCAGGAGCGGCCGAGACGGTACAGTGATGAGAGGGGATACAGACAGAGGACCACAGTCCCACTCACTGCCACAACACCGTCCACCCAAAGGGATCTAAGGTCCAGAACAGCGGCCAATAACCCATTGCACTGTGAGTAACCAACATCTTTAGACACTATTTCTCATTTCAATTTTTTTTTAACCCCTAAAAGACACCGTTAACGCTGCAAAGCCTGAACTGGGGTCGGATTGGGTACCATCCGGAGGGGATTCGGACGCTACAAGTTGTACCGTTATCACTACCGTCAGGAGATGTTTCTGCTTTTGCGAACGATTTCTTTTTGTTTTGTTTTTCCAGTGTGTGGAGAGGGAGAGGGAGAGGGAGAGGGGGAGAAAAAAAAAGTTGACGAGGGACGAGTTATTATTTTATTCTGTCAAAAGACCAGGTTTAGAAAATATTAGAGCAAATCCCCCCCCATCCGAGTAAATATTTATATATTTCACAGTACATCTTTCATATATAACCTATTGAAAGTGAGAGCTGTTCATTTAATATCTGTGCGACAATAATATTTACAGTTTTCGGACTGGGAGGGAAGGTAACTCCTCTCTCCACTCCGTCCAAAAGCAAAGCATCGTTTGCCTTCATCGCGTCGCTATTTTAAATCACTTTTTTTTTTTGCGCTGAAGCGGTTTTTTTTCTCTCTGTTACACGATTGCAAATCCGTGTCAAGTGGGGACTTCGCTCACAGTCACAGAGGGATATCACTGCACCGCATCAACTGCGACTGACTGACTGCACTGCCCTGGAAACTGGTCACAAACCTCAGCTCTCACCCCCCACTCTGTCCTCATCTCCCCCTCTGTCTCTCTCTCTCTCTCTCTAACCCCCTCTCTCTCCCCTCTTCCCTCCATCTCACCCTCTCTCTTCCCTCGTCCCCCCCTCTCACTCTCTCTCTCGCCTCTTTCCTCCCTCTCTCCATCTCTCGTCCCCCCCTCTTTCCTCCCTCTCTCTTCCCCTTCTCTCCTCTTTCCTCCCTCTCTCCCGCTCTCTTCCCCCTCTCTCCCCTCTTTCCTCCCTCTCTCCCCTCTTTCCTCCCTCTCTCCCTCTCTCATCCCCCTCTCTCCCCTCTTTCCTCCCTCTTTCCCTCTCTCTTCCCCCTCTCACCCTCTCTCTCTCCCCTCTCTCTTCCCCCTTCACACCCCCTCTCTCCCCCTCTCCTCTCTTCCCCCTCTCCCCCTCTCTCTCTCCAGCTCCAGGTGCAACTCTTATTCCACCCCTTCCTCTTTACAGCCGTTTGCTGTCTCCGAAGAAACCAGTCAGTCAAACTCCTGAAGATACCCAGAGACAGACAGAGAGAGAGAGATGGAGATGTTCGCCTGTATCTTATCTGTGGCTGTTATATTCCCCTCACTGGTCGCCCAGAGAACAGAGCCAATCTTCACAGCCATCACTGACACTGTGCTACCCCCCGACTATGACAACAACCCGACCCAACTCAACTATGGAGTGGCCATCACTGATGTGGACAACGATGGGAATCTGGAGATCGTGGTAGCAGGGTAGGTCCAGCAGCTGTTTCTCAGGGCCATTTCCTACACCTGCATTGTCTGTCTGTCTGTGTCTGTCTGTCTGTGAGTGTGTGTCTGTGTTTCTTTTGGAAAAGGATAATTTGGAGTGCCATCTCTCTGTTGGAGTTGATCATTCTGGCAGTTTTCCCACCGCCGTCCCCCGGCACCATGTCTGATCTCCTCTTTGCCTGAGGGAGATGGTTCCACAAAGGTTGGCTCCCCGCCCCTGGTGTCTCTTCTGACTTGAACGCACTTTGCAGTGAGCATCGCGGGTTAGTGGTGAGAAGCTGAGATGGATTTACTGAGACCCAGGAGCGCTGAGCTCAATTGTATCTCTCTCTCTCCTCGCTGCTGCTCACCCCATTAATAATAACATAATAATAATCCTTGCATTTGATACAGCTCCCTATCACGTCTTCAAAACACCTCAAAGCGCTTCACAGGATACCCTGTAAAGTGAATTAACTGTACATTTTGTGGCCGAAATTCGAGATCAACTGCGACCACAAGTGGAGGGGCAGAGAAACAAACCTGGGATCTTTCCACAGTGGATGGTTTGGCTATATAGTCGCTGAGCTGTCAGGTTAAATCAATGTGCCGGTTCCAGACTAGTGACCACTTTCCACTTTTTATTCCATTCGCTCGCTTTGCTGCTCTGTATCCTTCAATATTCGCTGGCTGAGAAACTGTCTGTTATATCCTCGTTATATATATATTTTTTAACTCAATTCAATGTTCCCGTCTCTGTCCTACACATCCTCTAGCCTTCAGTCTATCTGTTCCCCACTACCTCTCATTTATCTTCCCCGGCTGCCCCGACTCCCATCACTCTTTGTCACTCTCCATCACTGTGTAAGTCTGTCTCTCCTCCAGCCTTCATTTGCACAGACCCACAACTTCTCAAAATAAATTTCCGGGAGATTATCTGACGCTGTGTGAATTTCCTGACCTCACGCCCCACAGAAAGGGAGGTATTAAATTTGCCATTTCCATGCGTCGTCGACTGACTTATGAAATTGCACATTTTCTATGCAGCCTTTCTTTAAAAAAAAACACACACAACCTGCATTTATAAGAAGATTGCATCCAAGTGCGGCTCACGGTATCATTTAGGGGGTTAAAAAGGGAGGGTCAGCATATTTTTAGTGAGCTTGAAAAGGTTGCTCGTTATTCAACAAAACACATGAAGGTTGGGGGTAAAACACTAAATGTACATGTGCACTTTTCTCTGGTGATTTGCTTTCCTGCTTTTACCATGTTAACCCTTGCTTTGAAACAAAAATCGCACCCTGTTTTACAGTGACATTGTTCTAGTCAGTCGCCAACTCCCTGAGGTTTAGGTGTCTCTGGAACTCCCTTCCTCCATCTCTCTCTTTCATCCCCTCCCTCAATCTTCAATTCTTGTCTCAAAAGCTACCTCTTCGATCACGTCTATAGTTTCCCCCCCTCCCTTCCCGTTGCAGCTTGTTGTCAAAGTGTTCTGAGATGTTATTGTAATTAAATAATACTAAGTACTTGTGTTGGAGGGCAGGGAGTGTGTGTGTTATGAAGGACGCATATAAATACGAGTTGTTGGATTGGGTTTAGCTGTGATAGCCGTGGTTTTTAGACCTGGTTTTTGACGCGTTTCCTATGTGGCAGAGAGCAACGTTTGGTTGAGAATTCCTTTTGAATTAATTTTGTTGTTTTTCTTATTGCCTCGGGGAGTTTATATGCCTGGGTGATCCTGTTTTTTTCCACTTGCGCCTTGTGGTTCTATCTCGCGGTAGAATTTTAACTGTGTGCGCGTTATTTTCTGGGTCCCAGCCCTTGCATCAAATGACCGATTGATGCTTCAGTCTAACTGCTCGTTAGGTTCTCTCTTTGCCTATCCACCCAAAACCTTCTGTCTCACCACATTGACCAGCAACAGATAGTAATAATCCTTGTGTTTGATACAGCACCTCATCACGTCGTTGAGACATCTCAAAGTGCTTCACAGAATATATTGTAAAGTGAACTGACTGTACACTTTGTGGGCGAAAGGCACCAGTCAATTGCACACAGCAGCGTCCCACAAACAGTCGTGAATTATGTGAGCAAATTATTATTATTTATTTATCTGTTAAAAATAATTTTAAATGAAAAATAATAATAATTTTAAACGTAAATGCAAGTTGTTGTTATCCCTCAGTTGTTGGGCCTCTCTTCCCTGCCTGTTATCTTCTCTCTGGCTCATTGCTCTGAGGTTTCTTTCAGCCTTGCTTTGATTTGTCCATGGATCTACTGAGATGCGTCCTTTGAAATACATCTCTTCGATTTATGTCTTTGGTTAACATCTATAAATCTCTTTCCCAGCTGGTGTCGATTCTATTTGCAAAGCATTTTAAGATATTCCTTAACATGGAAGGCACTGTACAATTGCTAATTTATTTGAATGTTCCTTTACGTCCTGCCAAATTAGTGTTTGATCTGAAGAACTATGGTTTCGCTATAATTTGGTACATGTTATGAAAGGCAATGACATTAATAATAATGCTAGCATCTGATACAGCCCCCATTACACTGAAACATCATGAAACGCTTCATAAGTAATTCTGTCAAGTGCAGTGATTGTGGATTTATAGGCAAATGCAGTAGCCATTTTACAACTAATGACTGACCTCGTTGGGGAGGGGGTGGGGGATGTGAGTGGGGTCTCCTCGGAGCTAAACTGACTTCAAGGTGACATGCCTGACAATAAAATGTCGGAATCGAACCCCCCCTCTGTGACGGTCTCTAGTCCTGCCCCTGAGCCAGGAGGGGCCGCAGTATCCCAGGGCACTCACTGCTGATGGCACCACAGCCGTGCCCGGCTCATCAGCCGGACCTGGAAGGGCCGACCAGTCACTGGGGACAGGGAATCCTCCCCCTCAGCTCCTGTGAACCCTGCAGCCAAAGGCCTAATGGGTAGGGTGGTCCTCGCTGGATAAGCAGTGGGAAAGCTGGCCAGTCAGTCATATCAATGGCAAGTTTTGTGGGTTTAGGGGGTTACACTCCAGCAGTTACCCCAACACACACTCTGGGGTCCCCAAGCCTTGGCTCTTGCCAACCTGTGCGTAATACTTTCTGGAATTAGGTAAACCGGATTGTGTCTCCAGGAAGAAAGAGAGCGCATTCCTTTCCAACAATATATCTCTGGGATTTCCATGTGTTGGTGGGATGCATGGAATTTTCAGTTTGGTTTGGAGACTCTTATGCATGGGGATGGGTTTCCGCGTGTGTCAGACACCCAGCTGACTTAAAAAAAATGTAAGTAATTTTGCACACATCAAGATCCAACTATCAGCCATTAAGTGAATAGCCAATTTATTGGTTGGATAGCACACCAGGAGGAACTCCTGTCCCATAACATAGAGACCTGTAATTCAGTGGTTAGAGCACTCGTCTCAGAAGCGAGAGGACCTGGGTACCATTCCCAGGCAGGGTGAAACGTTGGGCAAGTTTCCTTACCTGATACACCTCTTGTTTACCTAGCAGTGAGTAGGAACCCAGTTGTTAATCGATTGGCGGATCGCTTTTCCGGGAGAAATAATCCCTCCAAAAAAAAATGGTTAGGTCACTCAATCCACGACTTTGTGGGACGCTGCTGTGCGCTATTGGCTGCCGCGTTTCGCCCACAACATATGCAGTCAATTCACTTTACAGTGTACTCTGTGAAGTGCTTTGAGACGTCTCAGAAATGTGATAAGGCACTGTATTAAATGAAAGGATTATTGTTATAACTTATTTAATGTCTAGCTGAGCAGGTGTTGAACTTCTCAGCAATAGGGTGGCAGATCTGACGAGTCTACACTATTCCAGGACTGGGCTGTCAACAACAACAACAACAAGATTGCATTTGTAGAGTGCCTTTCACATCGTGAGGACGTCTCAAGGCGCTGGACAGTTGGGTCAGGACCCGAGCAGAGGGGAAATGCTCAGAGTGAGGGGAGGGAAGGGAGGGAGCGAGCGAGGAGCGGGTAGAGAGTCGAGAGGGGAGCTGAAGGCACGGTCAAAGAGAAAGGTCTTGAGACCGGCCTTGAAGGAGGAAAGGGAGGAGGCGGCGAAGGCACTGGGGGATAGAGTTCCAGAGCCTCGGGGCTGAGAGGCTGAAAGCTGTTAGCCTAGACTGTGAGTTAAATTGCCAACTCTACACGCCTAATAATAATCCCTCAAAAAACAATAATAAATTGGTCATTTTCAATCTACGACTGTTTGTGGGACATTGCTGTGCGCAATTGGCTGCCGCGTTCACCCACAAATACAGTCAATTCACTTCACAGTGTGTTCCGTGAAGCGCTTTGGGACGTCCTCCCGATGAAAAGCGCTATATCAAATGCAAGGATTATTATTATTATTATAACGTGGGGCTTGAACCCACAACATTCTGACTCAGAGACATAAGTGTTACCAACTGAGCCAGGCTGACACAGTTTAGCTCCCTGAAGTGCAATATTTTTGGAATAAATTCTGGTACAATTCCAAAAGAAATGTGCTTGCGTTGCGATCGCCTCAGCTGTTGCAGATCTGTATTTCGTGGCTGAATCCCAATTGTATATTCAGAGCAGGCTGTTAGAGCGAGGTACACCCTGCAGATGAATGTGTTCAGGCCAGCAGCTCTAGTCTACATGATGATTTGAGGAAACAGCAATTTCAAATTGTTACGAGATTCATTCGGGGGCTACTGGTGCATTTGACATTTTTTTTTTTCTGCGCGTTGCTGAGGTGAGGTTGGTTTAATTGGGACGAGAGAATATTTTACTTCACCTTTCGCAAGTGATGTTTTGTTTTAATGATTTTGACTTTCTCCCAGCACAATTCCTCAAATCTACAACCTCTGTGAAAAATGCTCTGCACCTTTAGCCAGATACTGCCTCTTTGGTGGCGCCTTGATGGTTCTTCGCTTGAATGTTTCCCCGACCAAAATAATGGGGGGAAACTACGCTATTTCTAAACTCATTCCATTGCTTAATTGTGCCCTGGGATAATTA